AGCTCAAATTGCCAAAGGCAATGGGCAAGTAAGTTAATGAAGTTTTGGACAGTGTTAATTGACACACCTTTATTTTGCTAAGCCTTTTGCTTGTTCACTCATTTGCCCGTGTTTTATTTCGTTCTCTAACTTAAATGCATGCTTTGCACTGGCGTTCTTGATATCGTTCCCTTTTCTTTCCTCTTTTTTTCGGATCAAGACTTCCACTGCCCATAATTTCACAGGCATATTCAGTCCACTCTCCGTGCCGTGGCTCTTCTGGTCCCGATCCACGCCGAGCGCGCAGCAACCAAGCAAACTCAACCTCACTTACCTACGTCTTAAGCCTCTCCAGCTATCCAGGCCGGATCGCATGTGCCAGAAATCAGTCAACCAGTCAGATTCATCGGACAAACAGTCTTCATCAACCAGCAGTCTTGATGACACCACGACTCGAGATCCAACTGAAGAAGTAAGCCTAGAGGAGCCGGAAAAGACTGGGCAGAAACACAAATGTCGTCCTGTTCTTGATCCCACCCTGTTCACACCAGTCGGCTCCGACGATTTCGCCTACCCACTCATGGTGGACATGCCAGAAGTGGTCCGACGCAGTCGGCTCGGCCTGCCAGTCGACATTGAGCCAATAAATAGGCCCAATTTCACTTATATTATTCCCTGCTCGAATATCTGCTCCCCGCCCGCCTCTCTCGCCGGCAATCCAAATGACGGGCAATCCTACTGGCCGGACCTTTTGATTCTAATCAAGTCGGCTCCAGGGCATTATGACTTGCGCCGAGTTATCCGAGCTACATGGGGCAACAATTCTTGTTGGGCTGGCCGTGTGGTTCGCCATGTCTTTCTACTCGGTCGGCTGCCTCAGGAAGTGATGCTCGAGGTTCGAGGCCGATTCTTGGCGGCAGAAATTCGCTCAGAATCCATAGAGTATGGCGACTTGGTACAGCAGGATTTCATTGACCACTACCACAACAACACATACAAAATGATGCTTGGCTTTGATTGGGCTGTAGAGTTCTGTCCTGGAGCCAGATGGTTTATGTTTGCAGATGACGACTATTTTGTGAACCCAGTCAATACGATGACTCTGCTAGAGACAATTAGCCACGGCCTGCGCGCCCGCTTTATAGGCGGCTGGGTGTGGCGCAGATCAACAGCTATACGCAATTCACGGAAGCAACAGTCGTCGAAATGGTCCGTTGGTTGGGACGAGTACCCCCACGCTCTTTATCCGCCTTACATATCCGCAGGCACCTTTCTCTTGTCCCCTAACCTGGCGGCCGACATTCAGATTGCCTTCGGGTACACTCAGTATTTACGCTTTGACGACGTATTTCTCGGAATCATTTTACACAAACTACTCATTTCACCCGCCCATCTGAATGATGTTCATTCATATAT